GGTTTTGAAAAGTTTGTGTGAGATGGGCACTGAAACAACTCACGGAAGAGCATAAACGGAAACATTCGGACATGTGCAAACAAAACTTGGACTGATACTCGAAGGAAGGTAAAACTTTCTTTAAAAACATCTTTACTGGTGACGAGACACGGATTCATCACTACAATTGAGAAACCATGAGATTAAACGACAGAGTATGGAATGGAAACATCCTCAATCACTGGCCAAGAAGAAGTTCAAAAATCAACCATCAGCTAGAAAACTGATGCTTACAGTTTTCTGGGATTCTCAAGGATCAATATTGGAACAGTACCAGGAAAAAGGGTCAACAGTGCTCATTACACTGAGATGCTCACTGAAGAGCTGAAGCCTAAACTTTATATTAAATGCAGAGGACTGTTATCCAAGGACATTGTGATCTTGCATGACAACGCATGTCTGAACACCTCTGCCAACACTGTTGACACTGCAAAAAATGGTTTTGAGGTGTTAAAGCATCCTCCCTATAGTCCTGATCTTGTAAGATAAGAACTGGACCCCACAAAGTCAGTTTGGACTGCAAGGTGACAGTTCAAATCCACCAGCTACTCTTTTGGAAACCCTTATACAGGGTTACTATGAATTGGAACTGATTCCATAGCACTAAACAACAACGTATATATTTTTGTTGTTGTTGTTAAAGTGTCATGGAGTCAGTTCTGACACATAGTGACCCTGTCTAGGGTTTCCGTGGAGCAGCTGGTAAGTTTGAACCACTGACCTTGTGCTCATTTCAAACCGATCTTGCAGTCCAGTGCTTATCTTACAATATATATTCTTTCACTCAAGACTTCTTTCAGACAACATTTCTTGAGAAGGCACAATGTTTCCATCTCTCCACATCATTCTCTGATGGGGAACTTTTTCTTCTTCTTCCCACTCTTTCATGCCATCTTCTTCCACTCTCTCCAGAACGTCTAGGAAGGACACTTCTCCCTTCCCATAGGAATAAGTGAATTTAGTGCATTTAGAAGCAAATTGAGTGCCTCAAAATTAAGACAGGTGCCACCGGTAGTTCTCTTGCCCATATTTTACTTTTCATACAGTACAAAGACCACATGGTGCCTCCTTCCAGCAGGCCGTGACAGCTCTTTCTATTCCCTGCTCCAGCTTCTCTGTCTCCCAACGTTAGCGTAAACTGGCTGGTGTGGTCCAGATGTCCAGGTTCACAGATGGATGGATGTCAGAGGCCTATAGGAGAGGAATGAGGGACACTTTTCTCCTCCCAGAGCAAATTGGGCCTTGGGTTGGCATTCTGGCTTTTTTCTCCTGGAAATCTGATGATTGTGGAATGTCAACGATCCTACAATAATGCCTATGTTGGGACTGGCCCCTGATTGGTAGATGAACTGTGAAAGTCTGGAGGGATGATTTCTGCTTTCCTGAGCACAGTGAATCCTGAAATTCAGCATGGTTTTTGCAGGCACTCTGGAATCTATGTGAAGGTGGATCCTGTGCCCCCTGTTGTTGGTCTCATCTCCTTTCATCTGAGTTTCATTTGGAGGCTAGGGACCATCCCTGGGCCAGGTTCTGGAGTGCTATGAAGACTCTCCTGAAGAGGTAAGCCTGGTGCTCCAGGCTTCTGGCTATGGCTCCTGCCCTACATTCCTCTAAGTATGGTTTCTGCTAGTCCCAGTCCGACTGCAGGCTCTACCTGCATCTCCCTCCATAGACTTCCCTAAGAAGCTGATACTTTCACAACCACTTCTGTCAGCATTTTGTGGTTTTCTCCTACTGGCCAAAATACTGCAGAGGAAAAGTGATTGCATTTGAACTTCACCCTAAAGACTACCATTATCACTACTGATTCCAACCCCCACAAGGATCTGTAGGTTCTAGTTATTGACGTCCACCTCCATTTTTTCCCTAGATCACTAATGCCCCCATTTCATTCTGCCTTCAGCATTTTCCTCCCATGGACAGCCTTTCCTAGACAAACACTGGTTGGAGAGTTCCCCTCTACCATCTGAGTCAGCCATGAGACATCCCTCAATCCCATAGTTTCATGACCTGAGAAATGGGAAGAACTTGCCCCCAAGGAGCATACTCTGAAACTGGATTAGCTCCAATTATAATGTTCAAATGTATTGACACATACCAATGGTCATGAAAATGGCACAGTTCTATTATACAGAAGGTCTTCACGAGCTGGGGCTGACTCACCAGCATTAATAACAAGAAATGATGGCACACTCTGAGCTCCTTCAATGTGAAATAGTCAAAAAGTAAATCCAGCCGAGAAACATTTTGGGTCCCTATGCTGTCCCCTCCCATTGCTAAGTGGTCACTGGCTTATCAGAGCAGAGCAGAGAGATCACAGTGTGGCTTTGCCTCTGGAAAATTATGTTTTCCTAAAATCAGGGAAGAAAGGAAAGCAATGTGAAAACTCTCAATATTTAGCAAATTCTGCATCTCCCAGAACTGGAGGGGTTGAGTGTCAGATGTATATAAAAAGTGAAAGAATTGAAGATAGAAGGAGACAGATAGAGAGAGGGGCCTGGAAGGAAACAGAGGAGATGGTGATTGGAGCCCTATGCAGAGGGAGTCACGAGGAGCAGGACAGAGCTCCAGCAGGCTACAGTGGGTGTTCTGGGTAGCTCAGAGCTGCAACAAACAGGCCTGTGTGTGGCTTCTCCTGTTACTGGTCCAGGTGTACCCTAAGTCACAGGTGGCATCTGGAAGTAGCACTTTAGGATTCCTGCCATGTGATGCAAGAGGGCTAATGGAAAGAGCGCTGGACTGTGAATCCAGAGACCTTGCTTCTAGTCCCAGCTCTACCATTAATGAGCTGTTGAGTGACCTCTTTCCCTCTCTGGGCCTGTTTTCTCCATGAAAAGCTTTATAATGGTCAACTGCACAGTTGTCTCTTTGTCTAGTTCTCTCAGCCTTTAAATCCATGAAGTCATGAGTGGTGGATGGTAATGTTGTTCAGCAAATACTTGTGTCCCCTTGCCCACCCTCCACCTTGGGGAGGAGGTACATACTTCCCTACCCCACTACCTCATTGATGTTGACCAATGGACTGTGGGCAACAGGATCATGTGGCATTTGGGGTGGCTGCTTTGAGAGGTATTACATGTTCCTGCTTGTACTCTGCGTGGATACAGGAACATCTCAGTAGTTGCTGTTCCTTTAGCCTGGGTCCCAGCCACAGGAGATGCTCAGACCAGGCCTGAACCTAATCCAGAGCCAGAAGTTAAGCCCAGTCAAGACCAGAAAAGGCAGAGCCTTCTCACAGACCTGTGAATGGGAAAGAAAGGCTGCAGTAGGCACTGTGACTTTGGAGTCCTTTGTTATTACAGCCAAGCTGACTAATACACCACACGACAGGAAGGGCACATCAAGGGCTGATCTAAAACTGGTCTGAAGGAGAATGAAGGACAGCAAGAGGGGCCCCAACAGGAAGGCCCTCTACTGTTTCCCACCTCTGTGCCAGAGCCATAGTCCTCCATATGGACACACACAGGGATTTTGGCATCAACTACCCAGGTCTCAGCAGGGGTAGGAAGGCAGTTAGAATGCCTCAATGTCAAATTCCTCTTCCCTCACAATCCCGTCTCTCACACAGTCCTCTAGACCTGCGCAGTCTATTTCCTCACCACCGAGGTGCCATAATGAAAAGTTAGTAGCCCAAAGAGACAACAAGATGGCTTAGACAAGTTCTCAAGTTCTGACATCACTGGTCTCTGGTTGATGTGGTCAGTACACAAGTCTCTAGACCTCTCTGATTCTGAATATTAAAGGACCCCCAAAGAAATCCACATCAACACCATCCCAACCAAACGCTATTAATGAGTGTTTTCCTGCCAATCAGGGAAATATAGCATATTTGATGTAAGACACAAATGAATTCTCAGAGAAGATCATGCCTCCAGTACTGATGTCTTCATCAGTGAGTTATAGGTTAAGAGGTGTGACCAGCATTTAAGACTGCTTCGTTTTACTGAGAAAAAACAGGCCCATTCCCCACCTTCCGCAGCTGACTGGACCAGGCCTTCTGAGTGACTAGCTACACAACCTGTCTAAACATGGACAAATAAAAGCAGGCCTCCTCAAAACAACCTAACACATTAGAGAAGAGAGAAGCAGCATAGATTTGGGGAGTGGGAAAAAAGAAGGAGGAGGAACCAAAGCAAGGGGTTTCCAATTTTTTTTTCTCAAATCACTTTAACAAAATCTTACCTGGAATAGAAATAAGTGTAAATAAATAAAAATACCGAAGCTCAGGTAAAGTAGAGGTTCCTAGCCTGCCCATACAGCATCCCATTGTCCACTCCCTAACTCTGTCTGGAACCTGAGGACTACACTCAGTTTGAAAACCACTAAGCCAGAGAAATCTGGGGCACTGGAATAGTCTGTTGGAAAGCAAAGGAAACTAAGAAAGGTCAGGGATCACCACGGCCATTTCTGGGCATTTTGCTCTGAGAGAACTGGCTTCAATCTCTTGGCATGACTTGGCAGTCTTGGAGTTGTTGTTGTTAAGTGCCATCAAGTTGGTTCTGACTCATCGCAACCTCCAAGGAGCAGCTGGTGAGTTTGAACTATCGACCTTGTGGTTCAAACTAATCTTGCAGTTCAATGCTTTTTTCCACTGCACCACACCAGCAGAAAAGTGACTTCCATGTCCTATTGAGATAAATAGAATGACCTAGGGTCTTTCTCAAATCTTAGAGACACGCCTTGTTACCCTTGTCTTCAACTGGGCAAGACAGATTTGTTAGGGAGATGTTTAGCATCTCCTTCTTTGCCCTGCCTCTGTCTCTACCCATCCCTCAGATCTCAGCCACTGCCTTCGGAGTGCAGAGGCCTCAAGCCTGTCTGCTTTGGCCCAACTCAGGCCTCAAACCTGTCTGCTTTGGCCAAACTCAATCTTCTATGGGGGTCAGGAGGTGGGTGTGGATCCTGAAGGATCTTTAGCAAGTAGCTCCCCACTTTCCATGGAGACAGGCATCGAGACCCACCTATGCACACCACGTCCATGAAGCCATACATCCCGTAGCAGATCTGGAAGAGGAGGTCTTGGCGCTGCCACTTTGCTGAGGGGCTGAAGGTCGACCAAATGAGCCAAGAGATACTTGCGATGAGGAAGAGAGAACCCAAGATGGCGGCTGCAATCTGAACCTTCTCAATGACTGTCAGAGAGATGGCCTGCCACTGGAGAGAAAGGAATGTCAGGTTAGCTGTTGTTTGGATGCCCTCATCCCACTTGCATCCCATCCCCAACCCTCTTCCTCCTGTCACTCTAACCTTTCACTTCTGGTTTAGGATTTAAACAAGGACTTTCCAGTTTGTAATACAAGGGATATTTTTGCATGTCTCTGAGTTGTACATTATACCTTTAATACAAAATAAACCTCTAAGTCAGTGTAGGGAACAGACCTTGGACAGGCATGGCTGTGAAGATCTTTATACCTGATTACGACACAGACAGAGAAAAAATAAAAATACCGAGCTAGTGTGGCTGGTGTTCCAGGGCTCCAGAATATTCTTTTCAGGCAAATACTGTCTATTTTAACATTAACATGTGCTGCGAGAGCATAGGCCTATCTTTCCCTTGTTTTTTATACCGCCAACTGAAATGTCATTTAATATACTTGTTGTTGTTAAGTGCTATTGAGTCAGTTTTGACTTATGGCAACCTTGTATAAGGCTTCTGAGTGGCTGGTGGGTTTGAACCACCAACCTTGATGTTAGCAGTACAGTGCTTATCCTACAGCACCATACCAGGGCTCCAATATACATGTAGAGATTACCAATTTCATAGACAAGGAGGGGGACACAGAACATGGAGAAGAGGTAAGAAAAGCAGTGTATCATTTATATGAACAATGACATTTTTTTTTTTTTAACAGAAAATCACTGTACAAAAAGCAGCATTGATGAATGGGTTGAGACTAGGGTGTGGGTAAGTTTCAACTCTGAAATTCTATGATGGCTGGCCCAGGAAGGCCAGGCTTAAGTGAACCTGGTGTGGGACTCTAATTTGGAGTTCATTCATGCATTCACTCAGCAAATACATATGAGTATTCTCTAGGTGCTGGCCATTGTGCTAGGTACTGGAGATAGAGTAGTAAATAAAACAGACAAGGTCTCTAACCTAATGGAGTTTACACACTGCTAGAAACACAGATAACCAAATAAATATTCATGACTATAATTCAGCAGAGGGAAGAAAGGAATACCTGACATTGTGAAAGTCCGAGATGGCGGAACTTGACTTCCCAGAAGAAGTGATACTAGCTGATCTCTGAAGGATGTGTAAGGAAGAGTTTACTAGGCAAAGAGATGACAGAAAGGGAGCTCCAAGCAGAGAGAACAGCATGTGCAAAGGCCCCGTGGCAGGAGGAAGCATGGAGAATATGAAAACCTGGAGAAAGACCAGAGTAGATGGAGTAGAGAAAGCAAAAGGGAGCTTGGAGTAAGATGACTAGAAAGGTGAGCAGGCAGACCATGAAGAACCTTGTACACTATGTACCGATTTTGGATTTTGCCCTCAAAATACATGTGATGCTATTGAAGCGTTTTAAGCAGCAGACTGCTATGATTAAACAGGGAAGGTAGAGGGAAAGACAGCCTTCTGACTGGAAGGGCTGGTATAATGCCCTGCAGAGAACAACCACAGAGGAAGGCTTTCCAGTGTAATCCAAGAAAAGGCAGACTATCTTCCATCTGCCAACAGTGGGCCCCTCACTATGTGCTCAACGCCTGGAATGGAAATACTAAATCTGGTTCTAGCCAGCACTGATCAGGGACCCCTACAAGGAATTGGAAAAATGCAAAAACATTTCAATTGCTAGTCGTGATATAGAACATCAGCCTATTACATGTAATTAGGCCTTTAAATTTTCTATTGCTTCTCCCAGCCTAAGGCTACACACAGCAAAGGAATTTTCCAGATAATGGTCTGATCACACAGACTTCTCATGTGTATATCAAATGGATTTTCTGGAATCTGCCCCACTGTCAGTAACGAGAGCTTCTGACTGAGATTTTTGGTTCTACCACCAAGGCACCAATAACTCCTGCCTCCCCCTGCTCCTTCTATTCTCAAGAATTCAAAAATCAGTGGTCCAGAAAGGCCCCCTGAATCCCTAAAGGTCTTTCTTACCAATCCTAAGCCACCTGCAGAACCTAGATGGTACACCTGACCACAAAAGAAAGTGTATGAAGAAGCAATGAGTGTGTGCGCAACAGGCAAACCTACCTTCCTACCTGCCTCATGTGAGGTCCACAGAACGATCTGGAGAAAGCAGAGCAAGAGAGCTCTGAAATCTCAAAGGCAGGCAGGGATGGAGGGAAGGCTCCCAGAGGCACTGGCTTCTGTCACCACTAGACACTCTGAGCTTTGTCCCAAGAGAGATTCCTGTCCCTGTAGCAAGACCAGGAGCACCACATTACTCTGACCTGTAAACTCCTGTTCTGCAGTGCCCGAGAGGGAGAAATAATAGACAAATGGGGATATGCACAAAGATGAGATGTTTTATCCTCTGTAGTAGGAGGGAGTACTGAGCAGGGTTCAGACAACTCGATTCTAGAAAGCTCTGTTCCTAATGTGTCACGTATGTGCTCAGCTCAACAGGCTCCTGGACCACAACCACATAATACTGCTTCCAGCCCAAACTACTTCCTTCTGGTGCTGCCTCGAGAAGTAAAAGGGCATCTAGAAGGCACACCCCCGGCCCACCTGTGAACTTCAAGAAACAACAGAACCAGAGGGAGGCCCCACTGTCTAGAAACTCACCGAGAGTTTCACAGTGGTAGCTTATTAATAAATGAACCAGAAAACAAAACAACTCATAGAGAGCCCCCACAGGGTTTCCAAAACTGTACATCCTTATGGAATAGACAACTTTATCTTTCTCCCTGAGAGCAGGTGGTGGGTTTGAACCGCTGATCCCACAGCATCAATCACCAGGCTCCTTAACTAACACATCAATACTAGTAACATTGGTGCTTGCTTACTGCACTTATAAAATAACCTTAATTTTTTGTTTTGTTTTTTTACCTCCAGGGAAATGTTATCCCTGTATGGTGTCTCATTTTATGAGACAAGAGGAGATGTTCACTTTCCTGGAGGCACTTTGGAGTGGGCTTGGGGGTTGGGAATCTGACCTTTTCCAGCAGTTTAAGTCAGTTGAAAAGGAAGGGGAGGGCTGAGGTACCAGACCTCTGCTCACGCCCCAGAGGATGTGGACTCAGCTGTTTCAGAACATTGCTATTTTGAGACATTTTAAGATCTTGAAACAAAGGACTAAAGACGGAAGCAGCCGGTGGGGGAGGCACCTCCTATCCTGACCGTTTGACAGACCATCTACATGGCTGAGGTGCCTGGGACTTTTAATGTAGCTTCTAGAAATGCACTGTCTACCTGGCCATAGTTTATAGAAAACTAGAGTGACCAACTCGAGCCCATTCCTTGTACACACACACACTCTTTCTCACACACACTTGTTCCTGTGAGTGCCACATGGAGAATTCCAGAAGGTCTGGAATAAGTTGTTTCCAGCTGCCCCTCTACACAAGAACCACATCGCCAGTACCACACCACCCAGCCGCTGTCCTGAGCTCTCTTCCCTCCCTCAGGGAGGAGGAGAGAAACAGCTCTTCCAGAGTTAAAGTTTCCATCTTCACCTATATACTGGCTGATGGTCTTTGAGGCCACTTAACCGGCTGATGATACATATGCAGAGGTCTTTCCAAAAGCAAATCATTTCATGGGGAGGGGGTGGGAAGAGTGCACAGCCACCTTGCAGGGAAGACTGGGTTGTTTGGTGGCAGGTAAGAGGAGGTGTTGGGGATGATGCCTGTGTCCAGGTAGAGTGGGCTGGGGTCTGAGGGAGCCCCATCTGCATCTACTTGGCAAAGCCCCGCACCCAGCCTGGCTCTCCATGTCCTCGCCCCTCACAGCATTCTTCCACAGTTTCTCCTCTTCTCTCTTATTGCGCCTTCTTCTTTCTCTGTCTCTGTCTCTCCAGTCTTTTCTTCATTTTTCTCTCTGTCCCTTGTCACTCAAAATGTGGTCTACAGGCCAGCAGCATGAACATCACTAAAGCTACTTAGATCTACTGAATCTGAATTTTGAGTTTTTTGTGTGAGTTAAATTTAAAAAATCCATTGCTATCAAATCAATTTGGACTCATAGTGAATCAGAGTAGAACTGCCCCATAGTTTCCAAGGTTGTAAATCTTTAAGGAAGCAGACTGTTACATCTTTCTCCCCCAGAGTGGTTGGTAGGTTCAAATGATCGACCTTCAGGTTAACCACCAAGTGCTTTACCCACTGCACCACCAGGGCTCCTCCCAGGTGAGTTCTCCTCACATTAAAGTTTGAGAAGCATTGTTGAGTATCACCTGTTCTTTCTCTTTCAGCCTGTCCCTCCATCTTCTCTCTTCTGAGCTCTGGTCCATAGGTCCTCCCTTCGTTTCTTCTTTCTGCCCACCCTCCTTCCTTTCTTCTGCCTTCCTTTGCTTATGTTCCCTCTCTGGCCGACTCTCCACGTTTCTTTCTCTATATATGTATTTCACTCTCTCTGCCCCACGCTTTCTCCTCTCCTTACCAAGGCTTAAAAGAACACAAAAAGTTCCCTCCTAGTACTGGTGTGACACTATAGGATAAGCTCTGGTACTGCTAACCTCATGGTTGGTAGTTTAAAGCCACCAGCAACTCCTTGGAAACCTTATACAGGGTTGCTTTGATTTGGAATTGACTCGAGGCACACAATAACAAGTTCTGGTGTGGCACTGTTGGGTAAGCACTGGACTGCTAACTACAAGGTTGGTGATTCAAATCAGCAACTTGTTGGAAATTCTCTTTGAGTCAACTGATTTAACGGCACACAACAACAACAAATCCTTGTGTGGTGCTGTAGGATAAGCACTGAATTGCTAACTACAAGGTTGATGATTCAAACCCACCAGTTGCTCCTCAGAAATCCTATGGAAGATTGCTATGAGTCGGAACCTACTGGGAGGCATTTAACAGCAATACTATTCCGTTAGGGACCTTAGTGGGTAGCAGGTTACAGATTAGGCTGTTAACGGCAGGGTCAGTGGTTCAAATCTATGTGGCTCTGCAGGAGAAAGATGAGACTTTTAGCTCCCATAGAGATTTATAAGTCAGGGTCGCTCTGAGGGTCACTATGAGTCAAACCAACTCGACTGCACACAACGACAACCTTTCCGTGAGCATACACCTCTCAAATGCTTACCTACCTGAGCCCATTTCCTTCATCTCCTCCAAACTGCCCCAAATCTAAGCCGGAAAGCGGGCCCTATGGAAAATGCACTCGCGCGCCCCCTCCAGACAGCCCCACGCGGTACCTGCAGAGGGTTCTTTGTGCTTATGGCAATGACGTGGTACTTGTAGTAGCACAGCTCGCAGCTCCAGCAACCCCGCTCACTGATCCACTTGATGAGGCAAGGCTGGTGCGTGCACTTGACAGAACCATCACAACGGCACGGGCTCAGCAGCTCCCCCTGCAGGGAGAAAGCAGACCACAGTCAGGCCAGGGGCCAGAGGCTAGGGGTGGGATAGCGGTAGGAGCTGGTAGGCCAGACCACACCACCCTCAATCAGGCCCCACCCCACAACCAGGGCACGCTGGAAAACCTGGCTTCCCAACATCTGCACCAAGCAACCGCACTTAGTTCAACTGACGGTTCTGACCTCCCAGCACCTACTCTGTAAAGACCCGGAAACTATTTCCTACCTTAAGCCCTAGGGAGTCTCTGGAAATCAGCAGGTTGATTTCTGTAGAAGCCCTCTGTATTCCAAAGAGGATGTAAGCCTGGGTGAACTTCTTTTAAAGATTTGGCCAGGCATCTCAAACTCATGTGAGGTTCCACAGAGAGGCAGCACAAGCAAGGAGAGCCAGTTGGCAGAGACTGGGGTAAACTGAAAAGCCCACACCCAGGTAAAAGGGGACAACCATCATCTGCTCTAGCCTACTGTGGGGTTGTAGACAGTCTACTCTAGATGAAACCTCCCAGTATTCAAATGTTAACAATGAACTCAGAACTTGAGACTATAATATGAGAACCATGTTGCTGAGTTTGGAACACTGGTCCCAAGCCTTCACAGGCCAGCCAGTGCAAAGATTCAGGTCTCTTCCGTGGAGCCTTCAGGCTGTACGTGGACACCTAAAAGGCTGGGCAGCCACCCTCACTGCAGCCTGTAACACCAGGTTTGAGCCTGGGTGGGGGTGAGTGGAAAGACCAGGGATTGAAAACAGGGAGGCAAAGGACCTGACTGAGCTGGGTGGTGTTAGGATTCTAAGCCTTTTATGAATGGATCACAGGGTTGGGCTCAGTCTCCAGATGACCATGACTAAAGTCTGGGCCTCTGCTTTCTGCGCCACCTGCCATGGTGCCTCTGAGAGGCACACTGCCTCCTTGGCTCTTCCTTTGCCTCTTCTGTTTTCCCCTCCTACTTAAAGGGCCCATCCTTTTTTTGGCTTAAGTCCTACCCACACAGCTTCCTCATTGACTTTCTCAGAGACTTTAGAAAGTGGGGCTCCCGAAACCTACTCTGCTGCCTTCTGACCTTGCCCACCATCTGACTCTAGATACCCACACCCCACTTGACTCATTTATTTTGGATACTGCCCTTCTACCTCTACCCTACCAGGGGACACATGAGACAGCCAATCTCTGGGCCCTAAATTAGCATGATGGGAAAATAGCCATTGAGTCATGTTCCTGCTAATCTGGGAATGTCCCTTCAGGACAAACCACTCCTTGTTTGTAACTTCAAAGAAGCAAGCACAGGAACTCCTGACCCATAAATTACAGATCTCTATTTGCATATTTAATTATGTTCCTTGCTTCCGAATGTTGAGCCAGTCTTTTCCTTCCAAGGAGTACGGAATCATCTTTCTGTCCACTTCAGATTGTATCACTCAGGGGCCGCACTGTGGCCTAGATGGGGTCTAGAATGTCCTTCTGCCTTGGAGCTACCTGTTGACAGGAACCCTAGTGGTATGGTGCTTAGGCACCAGATGCCTCACAACAAAGATGTGGCAGTCTGCTCCTGTAACGATTTACAGGCTTGGAAAAATCTATGGGGCAGTTTTATACTAACTTATAGGTGGCTATGAGTCTGAATCAATAGGATAGCAATAGGTTGGGTTTTCTCATTTTATTTGTTTCCTATTTGTCAAACTACTGCTGTCTTCAGAATAGTTCCAGGGTCACTTCATACCAGGAGTCAGCTCTGACTTCTCCAGCTTCTACTGTGGCTTCTGAGTGTCCTGTGAAACTCACTATTAGAGCATTCTTTCCTTATTTTAAGGACCTGCCATATGCTTGTCTGTCCACCAGAGGAGCCCTAGAAGGCAGGATTGAAGTGGTGCTCACCTTTTCACCACACCCTTTCTCCCAGCACCTACCCCTGCACCCAAAATAACGCACCATTTATGTTTGAATGGTGTTGTGGATTGAATTGTGTCCCCCTAATTTTGTATTGCAGTCCTGGTCCATGTGCCTATGTAGGATGTAGGTGATCCTGTTTGGAAATAGGGGTTTTCTTTTGTAATTGATTTCATACCAGAGTAGAGTGGATTCTTAACCTAATCACTTCTACGTTATAAAAACGGCAGAATTGACCTATGCATACATACAGGAGGCAGGAAGATACCACATGAAGTCCAACACACAGGGAAGATGCATCTATCAGCCACAAAACACAGTTCTTAGTAGCTGCTATAAGTTGAAACAGACAGAGGTCATTTCCCTAGAGCTGCTGCCCTGACTTTCTGAATTGTGGGAAAATAAATCACTGTTCTTTCAAGCCATCCACTTGTGGTATATCTTGTTACAGCAGCCTTGAGTAACTAAGACAAATAAGCAAAGGAAAACCGGAACCAATTCCCCTCAGGTTCCCTGCATTTAGGTTTCCTGCAATGAATGCCCTGAGGGACAGGAGCCACATTCATGTTCCATACCTCAGGAGCCTCAGGCCCTCACTCAGAGCCCGGTATTTTGTGAATGTATGTGTGCCATCGAAGAACATGGTACGTAATTGCTCAGGACCCTAGCCTAGGTGCTCCATACCATGAAACCCTCCATGGTTTCCCATGCAGCTCCCCAGTATTGCTGGCCCCCTTTGCTATGCCTCCAGGCCTTCCCCATAACCCCCCTCCTAACGTCTTACCCATTTGTCTCTGGGTCACTATATACTATGACCCTATCCACAGGCAATATCAGATCCATCTTTGTATCCCTAGTGCCTAGTACAGTGCTGAGATCAGTTGTTCCTCAGATCAATGCTGACAGCTGAATTCCTGTTGATAAACAAGAGGCTTTGCTCCTCTGGGCTCTGGCCAGCCTGGGAGAGGCTTAGAAGGTGGGAGAAGCCCACAGGGCTAGCCGCTCACTGTGGTGTTCAGTACCTGCTGTGCAGCTTTGAGGATGAAAGAAGATGGCCCTCATTATTCAAAGCAATGTATCTTAGGCTCATTAATTCTAATAGGATGAGCTAGGTTTGATTAATCGGGTTGTTAAGCAGCCATGTCAAATTGCCGATCAGGTAGAAGGCATTACTTCCGGTCCCTGGCAACCATGACAAGTGACAGCCAAGGCTCTACTTTCTGCTACCCAAGCAGCAGTCATGAGGCAGGACCAGCAAGAGCCACTGACTGGGGCACAAGCGGACCCTAAGATGCAGCCTCTGCATTGGGCTCTGAATGGGCTGTAGGAGCAGCCCGGGCACACACACTAGCATCCTCTGTGCCTTAACTTAAGCATCTGGAGAAATGAACCGGGCCTCATGTATGGCGTGGCCTGTGGGGTGGCTGACCCTGGACCTCCTTGTTTCGACCCTACACATTCCCTTGGGGCTGGACAACTCAAAAGGAAATTACTTTGGGCCTGATGTGGTACTGTAGGATCAGCACTGGACTGCTAACCACAAGGTCAGCAGTTCAAACTCATCAACCACTCCTCGGAAACCCTATACAGGTTTGCTATGAATCAGAACTGAATTGATGGCACATAACAACAATCACAATTATTGAAAACCAAGGACACCAAATGTGTTAGAGAAGTTGATCTCTGACCAAGAAAGAGATTAAGGATTTTAGAGTGGAAAAAAAAATCAGGAAAGAAGCTATTTTAATTTTGGCATTTGTGTAGGCTTTGTATTTCATGATTTAGTATTTTTTCATGTGCATTTGGGAGGAGATCCATCATTTTTGTAGTGTTTAGGGCTTCTCAAAAGTCTAATCTGGACCCTTCCCCCAGAGCCATATGTCTTTAAGAAGAAGGGAAGGGGAAATGAGCTAGCAGCGGTTGGATTTGGACCATGGTTATAGTAAACTCTGCTAAAAGCTCTAACGGTAGAGTAGGGAAACGGAAATGGAGCCTCCCCCAGTAAAATGTTTTCAAGGTAAGAGAGACACCTACTGAAAAGACAGATGCCTGAGGAACTCAAGGTCACCCTGTGGCATAGCCAGACCTAAAGCCGGGTCCCCAGACTCTGACTTCAGACTCAGAGCTTCTCACCCTGCCGCTCTGGGCACACCCCCTCTGCACCTGGTTCCTGTTGTCCCACCTGATTCTTTTCTATCTCCTCCTCTCCAGATCCTACCCCTCTCCACTCTCTGGCTTAACCCACTCCCTCAAGTCTCCCACCATAGCTACAGACCTGTCTCCTCTCCCAGTATCATCACCATAGTTAGGCACGTAATCATTCTCTAATCATTTTCTCTGGGAGTTGGGCTGTTCCTGCCTACCCCACAGAACTGGGCACCTTGTAGGTGCACATTAAAGGTCTGTTTACTCACTGGACAGGCCCAGGGTCTGGGGCTCCAGCCTCTGGACCTGTAGGATTATTGTGATTCTATTTGCAGCCTCAGTAAACCACAGATCAAAGGGGCTAATTAAATGCTAAGGGTGTCAGATACTTCCTCCATGATCTGCTCAGAGCTTTGGGGCCCAGAGACTGCCCTGGGGATGACTAAAGCAAGGAAAAGCGGAACCCCTCTAAACCCCTGCCCCCCAGAGACACAGTGGGAGAGTTGTTAAGAGTGTGGTCTTCAGAATTAGACTCCTTGGATTTGAATGTCTCTTTACCGTTTACAAGCTGTGCAATTTGGGCAAATCTCTTAACTTCTCTGAAACTATGTTTCCTCATCTTTTGTTGCAGAAACTCTTGCCTCCTCCAAGGGAGTTTGTAAGGATTAATGAGATTATCATGCAAGGAGTTTGACACAGGGTCAGTCCTCTAAGGACTTTAGTTTCATAGTTTGGGGGTTTTGTTTTTCACTCTGTTTCCTTCTCCCGCTATCACTGTTGATGTTAGCTGCCTTTGAGCTGGCAGAACACTATGTTTTCAGTGTGTGGCGTCCTCACGATCGGTCGTGGATCAAGCCCTTGTGATCTATAAGGTTTTCACTGTCTAATTTTCAGAAGTCTCCAGGGCAGGTTACCAATAAGCAAGGTAAGCATGGGCTTAATTGTTTACTATGGATTAGTAAATAA